CTCGTGTTCATTCATTCCGGGCGTGTTTGTACTGAGGAAAAAAAGAAGAAAACACTACAGGAAGCGCAGGAGCTTCGTTCAACAAACCGGCATTTTCTTCGAAAATACGTTCTCGAATGCGATACTTCTCGCTCGAATTCGCATTATGTGCGACGCGGGAGGTAAAGTCACTTGCGAGTAGAGAAACGTGCGTTATTCGTGGGTTCCCACGCTTGCTTAAAAAATTGGCACACAAAACTTATATCTTTTCAAACTTGACTTCAATGAATAAAGGCTCGTCTATAATACACGGGGTAAGCTTGGCGAAGAATAGACGATCTTATTAGATTTAGATCCGGGGTCTATACTGGTATTAAGTAAAATCTTTTAAATAAAAACCTCCATTTTTTACGATAAATTTAGATTCTACATCTCAAAATAAAACAATTTTTTTATCATTTTTTGCTTAACCACTTTGCTTAACAAGTCCAAAAAAAACGTTGTTCGAAGTTATTTAATTAAGTTATTATATTATGCAATTCATTGCAAAATATCAACTTTTGGGTATGATATCTTAAAAATGACGTGTTTTAGAAAAAATCATATACTTTAAGATTTGAAGATAGCGATCTGATAGTTGGATTCAAATTCAAGTTTAGGCCCAATAAGCCCCAAGTCGATTTTTTAAATAAAACCCACCAATTTTTCCCCTCTCTATTTCTAATCTTTTCTATGAGAGCTTTGTATATCGAGTCCAACTATGCATCGACGACTGTAGACGCCTATTCGGGCACACGCCATTAAATGAAGAAATTTTATTTTCATTAAACTGCAACGTAAGAGTAAACGTAAATACGAACTAATTGAAAAACAAAGCAATTAGAAATAAAAAATTAATAGAGACATAAAACATTGACTTTTAAAAAGTACTTTTGAGTATTATAGTTGAAACTAAAAAAATGATTACGAATGTATTTTACTGCGATAAGTGTTACATTGAAGTTTTGCATAATTTAAAGGATTTTTGTTTAAATGAATAAAGAGCCGCACGGCAACGCGTAGAGAGTGTCGGACCGAGAGAGTCTCCGCGTGGATGTCCCGTGGAGAATCGCGTGGGCCAGGATACGTGGTCGGAGCTGCTTTCTATGCTAAAGGGCCTGGAATGCTCGTCGCCTCCCTTTGCGCGCTATCTAACGCTACGCGACTCCTACGATATCGTCGCGGGTTCTTCGTAAATTCAGTCGTACTATGAAAGGCTGAGTCTCTTTCTTTCTTTCTCTTTCTCTTTCGAAAGAACGCCTCTTATGCAAGACCACGCTTAATTAAACGACGAGTGATTACGTTTTCTATAATAAAAATCACTATAGGATTTTGTAACCGAGAAGTAGATCGACATTCACTAATTCACTATCCTTTCATTTCATATGTGTTATTTATATTTTAGGAACTAAAATGCGCTATTAAAATACTGACTGTTTCTAGCGAAATTTGCTGTTTCTAGCGAAATTTACCATGTTTCTTAGCAAGACAGACAGCTTATTCTTAGATTATTAAGCACAGTGATCTTCTCGAGACAGGACTACTAAAAACATAGTGAATTCTCTCGAGACTAATATATAAGAAGATTCTGCTGAGGATGTTCTTTTGAATATATAATCCAAAGATTATAACATATTCGAATAATTTGAGTTCTTTTTAGAAACGTCTGCTTTCAGTTCGGTTTCGAATTTAGTCATCTCCAGGGTTGGAAAATAACGAGTTACAAAATACTTTCTTCAGCACGACTTGGTAATAGCGCGTTATCATTTATCACTAATAACGATAACAACAACGTAGCTACATCAATGGTAATAGAAATGAACGTTGCTTCTATCGTAATTTTGCACACATAGAATGTACATTTTTCAAAAATTGCAGGTAAATAGATAAAACGGCAAAAAAAGAGATCTTTAAAACTCGAAGAAAAAATCAACGACACGTTATTTCTTGATTTATGCTTGATGATAACGAGATACTTTGAGAAAAAGTCACTCTCCTAAACCCGATCGTATTTACTCCTAACGTCTCTTCTAATCGCGGAGTTCCCGAGAACTCGCCGGACGATACTCCGGACCGAAGGTGCTCCAGAAATCTGGAGGCTGTCGGTCGCAGTAGGTCTGAAAAAGGTGTCCACGGTGAAAGGGTGAGGAAACAGCCGGTCGGCCGGGTGCCGAAGCAAAGTCGCGCGACGCGGTGACAGACCGTGTTAAATCATCGATCGCTCTCGTGCTCGTTCTCGCGCGTGGGTGAGCCAGCACGGCGACGCCGGTGGGAGAATACATTTCGGATTTTTGTCCGGCGGGAAATTTGCGTGCCGCTAATGGCATCGCGACGCCTACGGGGTCCGCCGAGGCTAGGCAACCTGCGACGTTTCGCGCGCTACCGCGTAAGGCGAGGCCGGAGAGGCCAGGCTGCCCACCCGATCCCTCCTACGGGAAAGAACGGGATGTGGAGAAGAACGAGAGAGAGAGAGAGAGAGAGAGAGAAGAGAGAAAGAGAAGAGAAGAGAGAAAGAGAGGAGAGGGAGAGGAGAGGGAAAGGGAGGGAGAGAGAGAGAGAGAGAGAGAAAGCGAGACGAACGCTTTTCTCGGTCGGTCGGATCCACCTACGGGAGCGAAAGAGCGAGATCGAGAATGCAGCGGCCGATCGGCCCGGAGCGGTTTATATGTCCGCCCGCTCGCGCGATCAACGCGATCGATCGGCCAACTGAATCGCCGTATTTCCGCCGAACGAGTTCACCTACGCGCGCGCGCCGATAGGATTTCTCGGTTACCCGCTTTGCCGCCCGGCTCTGGTCCGGCCCGGTCGAGACTCCCTCCCGCGGCCTCCCCCGTCGCGCAGGTCTCGCATGCGTCCGTCTCCGTTTCTCTCTGTGTCTCTCTCCTTCTCTCGCTCACTCTCGCCCATTCATCCCCCGGTCTGGAGCGCGCGGATGCAATTTTCGCCGCGGGACTTCGACGTAAATTTCATTAATCTCCCCGGCCAACGCGGTTATTTTCGGATCCCCGTGTCTTAGATTCGGCGCATCGAGCGCGCCGCTGACAAGTCGCCGGCTTTTTATCGCGCTACCTCCGCAAGGGATGACGAAGATGATGATAATAATGATAAAGGAAATATTGGATTGATTCATAGTTTCGTGCGGATTCTTGTCTAGTTGGCATTCACATATTATAAGAAGGATAGTTCCATAGTTTTGGTAATTAATGTATATGCTTGAATAGCTGACATTGTAGAGCATATTTTGTAGTGTAAATGTGATAGTATTTAAAGAAGTACAGTTATCTTTTCTGCGGCTTGAAAATGAAAGGCAATAATGAACTTTTCCAGTTCTATTGTGCTTTTTTACTTCCGTAAAAATTATTAGAATTTGACTAGGATGTTTTTCCTCACCTACTATAATCAGTCGACTTTCATCTGTTTCACTCATTACAGAACTTCCTTGATGATATAAACTTTGCTTCTTTAGAAGATGTAAAAGTCACTTGGAAGATTTCTTTGCCAAAATAGCACAAGAGTTTTACAAGAGGCAAATTATGAAAGATGGCAAAAGATTGTCAAACAGAATGGCGCACATATTATTGATTAGAACTGTTTTTAACATGAATAAAATGCACGTTAATTCTGTTTAAAAATTCGCACTTATGAATCAATCCAATATATTCTACGAGCAAATTCGCGATACATCTCAAATTCCGCGACAGGCAAGAACTTATCACGGAAAAAAGAAGTTGGCTGCAGTAGCGAGCATCTACGTATAATTTAATTGCTAAATCTTGTTGTGACATACACGGAAAAAATATTGTAGTAAAAGTTACGCTAAAATTAGATTTCTTTTTACTATTTCTTTTATAAAAATCCGAAATCTTAGTGTCCGAAATCTTTAAATTACTGAATTAATTTCTTTAAATTAAAGAATAGTAAATTTGATAATCTATCTGATATACGATACAAAAAACATTCAAGGACTCAGATAGACTTTCATGATTGTCACGACGTGAGACACAATCGAAAATGAAAACTTTACAATTCTTTTAATTACATTATGAGGCAAATGTACTGTGTACTGAATTAATTATTAAATTACATCATATAATGATATAAATTCTGAATGAAATAATTATTAAATTTACATCATATAATGATATAAATTCTGTGTTATATCGATGCGGCGAAAAATTTACTCGAAATTACTCTGAACTTTTCATATTACATTTTGCACAACATATTATTTTGAACAAATTTTGATCATTTTTTAAATGTCTTTTTCGTATTTCTACTTCATCGTTCTATGTAATAAATATGAGTGCTATGTGAACCATTTGTAAGGGATACAATCTTTACAAATCGGCTAATACAGTTAGTACTGCCATATTTATGTACATTTGTCTATTTGGGTAATTGCAATAATCTTTTGTAGTAAAAAGTTAAACGTGCATAACATTCTTAAGCAAATATATAACATTTTCGGTCATAATTCTGTATGATCCAAAATCATAAACATCTTGTTGTAACTTTCGCTATGATACTTTTCCCGTGTATGGATACCTAAGAGTATAGCTGCCAGTAGACATATATTCAACTGTAAGTCCGTTGTAGTAACAACAGTGGTGAAAGTTTCAGTTACAGCAACAAATACATTTTCAGTAAACCACGATTAGCTGCGACAGTAAAATCTTTCTTTCGTAAAGTGTTACGGTGGGAATCGGAATATTCTCTCCTTTCTTCGCGGGATGGGAATTTCTTTCGGCACCGGAGGATCAACTCGTCGGAGTAAACTCGACGATGCTATTGACGCTCGCGTGGCGTGCCGATTATCGATGCGACGGTATTCACATTCCGATAACGTGAACGACACAAAGAGCGTACACGTAGCGATTCGCGAGGTAGAACCGAAAGAAGAGAGAGAGAGAGAGAGAGAGAGAGAGAGAGAGAGAAAAAAGAAAGACACAGACGGAAGGAGAGAGAATGTAGAGTCTACTCACGTCCTTGCTCGGGACGCAGAGCGGCGTTCCTTCCTTGACGATGCCAGCCTCGACCATCACGCCGATCACGATCGGGTCCCTCGAGTTGAACACATACTGAAATTCAAGCGAACATTGTTTTAAGTAAAAAAGCAAAAGCTCCGCCGCACGGATAGCCGGCGCGCGTAAATCCCGCTTGTTTATCGCGCCCTTTCACCCCCGCGCGATTCGTACACTCACCTGCGGCAGGATTTTCAGCTTGCACGGAAACACGGCGATGTGCTTGTGCTCATCCCGCTTGCGCTGCTTCAATTCCTCCCTGTAGGCGGTGAACTTGTCGAACAGGTGGTAAATAATGTCCGCTTGGAAGATCTTGACACCCAGCGAGTCCGCCAATTCCTGCGCGTCCCTCTCTATCTTCACGTCGAACGCGAGAATCGTGGCGTACCTGTGGACAGATTAATCGCCTCGTAATATAATACCGGTATTTCAGGTGGATCTTAATACAATTTTTACTCGAGACATAGATATTGAAGAAGATATCTCAATACATGTATCTCGAAGTACCGAAAACGTAAAGACTACAATAAAAATTTAGCGTCGAATAGAAATTTGCTATATCAAGAGAAAAAATATCTGAGAAATAAAAAATATTCGCGATTGGTATCTAATAACATATTTACTTAACTCTGAATTCTTTTGTTGAAATAGAATAAACAGTCGCTTCCATGAAAAGCAATGGTGTTTCAAGAAAATATAAATTTTCTTATTTGAAAGAAATTTTGTCTCGATGTAAATACATGTATGTTGGTACAAGTAAACGTGTTATTAGCGCCCATCGAATAGCTTTTCAAATTTATTCCCGCAATATAGAAGACAAATTCATTCAGTAGTTATAAGAATTATTTTCACACAAAACGTGTTTACTACACAGAAAAATATATATTACAGCTTCTTTTCATATAAATATTTTTAAATTTTGTTTTTATTGCAGTAGAATTTATCTAAGGAACATACACAGAGTGAGTCACCTAACGTTAGATTCCAAGAGATTTCTGTTGTTTTGTTTTTTTTTTTTTTTATATTAAAGGAAAAGGAATAAATTTTTTGTGCGGATAGAAAGGTTGGCTGACTACAATATTTATCTCTTCTAACCACATAATTTATTCCTTACACATTTCCCTCTAACACAAAACAACAAAGATATTTTAAAATCTAACGTTAGGTGACTCACCCTATAGTCAATTTTTTAATAGTAAATAGCAGTTACTGAAAACCAAATAGAAGACATATGAAACTAAAAAATAATAAATTAAGATCGAATGTGTTGATGTTCCTTGATTACAAAGTTTCATGACAAATTTTATCGTGACTTTTTCTCTGTATACACATTTACGTCTGAATATCTTCATGGAGGGAAACTCCGGAGGAAAAGTTGAGTGTATCAAGAAATAGTAGGTAATACATACGTGTGCAACAATTTTATACTCAAGTCGAGATCGATTTAGACGTAATCTCACCGAGATACAACGTGACGTGACAGTGACAACAATATTACAGCTTAAACGATAATCGAGAGGCTGTACTCACTGGCTGTCGTGTTCCAGCATGATGGAAGCCTTCATGACGTCCTTCTTGACGACCGGCCCGATGCGAATTCCAGCGTACTGCACGCAAAAAAAAAACGAAAATCGACGTTAGTGCGAGCGGAGGAAGAGGGGAAGGAGGGGGGAGGGGGAAGGAGGGACCAGGTTAGTTGGGTTGTTAAACGCAGGAACGATACATCAGACGGCATCTCGCGAGACGCGGCCCCTCATTACGCAACGAGAAGTCGCTCCGATTTCGCTCGGCCGCGGTGCAATGACTGTCATCTCGTGGCGTTATTACATAGTCTCTCGCCGTTACGTTATTTCGCACATTGTGACGCAATCGAGCAGCCGAGTAACGAGACTGCGGTAACAATCCGACCAGCGCCGTAGTCACAATCGACCCGCGCACTCCCGTCTCATCCCGCGCTAACTCGCGCCAGTTTCTTACGCACAATGGGACTCTTTATCGGCGCTGACACTCGTCGCGCGTGATCACGTGAACGCGCAAAAACGTTCGGCTGTTTGCTCGCCCGAGGAGGAGTAACTGTCCCGAGTATAAACAAGGAAGGTTACGAGGGAGTCCCATACAACAGACGTGCAAATATTTACGAGCGGCCGGTCACGCGGCTAGCTTCGAGAATAAAGACGAACGAATTGTTCCCGTTCATTCAAATATTCATTCGCTACGAATCGTAAACGAGATCGACGATTTCCCACCGCGTCCAGGAATAACATTATCCCTGATCGAATGAGAGAGTAACGAGTCGATGACGGAAAAGAGGGGGATCTCACTGCATGATAATTTTACTACTTTGGATTTACTATGCTTGTCTCCTCCTGTCGATTGTTCCTATTGATCGCCTTGTTAAAATTCTATTTATTCTCTAATTAAATAATGTCCCGACGTATCCTTAAATATCCAGCATATGATATTAAATTGCGTGTAATAATTAATTTCGGATTTTTTAAGTAAAATGGGACGTTTGTTTTATATTTTCACGTCGTTGCGATTTTGTCAAACATTGCATGTGTACTGTGATCTTTACGATCTGCTTCCTTCCTTCGCATATATTATTTCGTAAAATTATGTCAACATAAAAAGTACAATCGTTTTATTTTCTTGAGAATTCATTACACGCATAAGTCAATATTTCGAAACATAAAAACATTTCAATTATCTACGTCGTTTAATACAACGTTTTCGGAGCTATTTATTTATCTTTAAAAAAAAAAGATAAATTTTTATTTATTTTTCAATTTCTCACGATAGAACCTTCTCTTGTTGAAACCTCTTCATAAATTAAGTTTAAAACATTTACACACTGTTCTCCCCCCGTTCCTGATTATACTTCCTATTAAAATCCCGCATATCTAAATTTTTGAAATAAAAAAAAAAGGGAATCAAAAAGTTAAAAGCGTTCATTTTAAATATCGACACTTCGAATAATTGAAATTCGCCGCCTGAATAATTCACCGAGGGTGAATAATTATTATTTGATTGAATAAATATAATGACTATTTCTAATTTTGATACACTGAGAGAAAAATATTTGGAAAGTAAAAAATATTTATTTAATGGATATTAATATTTACTTAAATTTGAATTACACAAATGAAGTAAACAATTGTTTTCACGAAATCTGTTTCAAGTTTCAAGAGAATATATATCTTCTTGTTTGATAAATATTTCATATTCGTAATCTGTTATTAGTATCCATCGAAGAAATAGATAGTTTTTTTATTTCTTACATATTTTCCTCTCTGAGCGTACAACGATGTACGTTATTTTTCATTGGCAGACAGCGATTTGCGCGACGCGTTAGCATGACCGAGTTGACGTTACGAGACGAATCCCCGGAATCATTGCCACCGAAACATCGCGAGCCCCATACGCGTCTTCGAGGGTCTCTCTCCCTCTTTCTCTCTCTTTCTCTGTGTACGATCGGCGTGCGTACGACTAGGCAAAAATAACCAGTGACGCATGCATACCGCCTAGATTCGGCCCAGAGTCGGTGCAACGAGACAGGACGACATGGGACGAGACGACGACGACGGCGCGACGCAACACCGAAATGAAATCGAAATAAACGCGACGCGATGCGCCTACCTACAAACAAGCCGCTGCTCGCGACTGCATCGCCGAGGAAACAGCCGCTCCTCGGTCGGGACATACCACGGATCTATCGCGGTCGGAATTAAAACCGGCGGAACGAGAGAGTGTGCTCTCGTGACGTTACGGGATATACGAGGTGTCCCTCGGATCATTCGAGCGAGTCGACGGTAACGGCAAGTGTGAGGGACGCGCTGACTCGACACGTCGCGACAAGTTAAATTAGGTCAGAAACGGGGCGAATACTTACTAATAACATCCTCACGATCGCACATCATTATTTTCCGGCACTCCCAATACGTATCTCCGCGCGCGAAACTCACTTTCGACGAACAAAAGACGCGCAAAACGTGGAATGATATCGATCGTTGCGTCCATGACGGTTGCTCGACGCGAGAAGATCGAATATGGCCGCGCAATGCATGACGGACGCGGGAAACAAGCGCCAAAATGTCAACTGTGTCGCCCTCCATAACGGAGGGCGCTCTCTGTAGACTCAATTCCGCAGCTGCTTTACCATTTGATATAGCTGCGTTCCGAAATTCACTGCTAGTACTGAAATTCTATAATATACGTTAACATAACATATAGATTTTCAGTACTGGCAGTGCATTTCGGAATGTAGCCACAGTCGATAGATTCAATGACGTATATACATAGACCAAACATTCCTATACTTCTGCTGAAGCCGGAAGTTGGCAGTTTAAGACAGAGTGAGAAAGTTGATTTGCCCCTAGTGCTTTCTCATTCTATCGTATAAAAAGAATATGGTCGCTGTCAAGCTGTCAAGTACTATATATAATGCAAAGCAGAATTAAAAGAATAAAACCGTATATTTCACTTATCTCGATATAAAATTGATATTTATATTTTATGCTGTGTATAAATAATCACAGCAATTGCTCTTATCCTGTTCTCATTCTACTATCAAATGAAAAAGGTTAGGTTGCTATGACGGGATACAGTTCTTGGAAGGTTTAGTGCTGTAAGTGCTTCAGAGCTACGAATGGATCAATTACAATGCTTTATTTAATGTTTTAAAGTATTTGCAGTGTTAAATGGGCTCTACTTCTTGACAGTTAATAATATAGAGTGAGAAAGCACTAGAGGCAAATCAACTTTCTCACTCTGTTTTAAACTGCCAACTTCCGGCTTCACTTTGCGGACAGAATGCTTGGTCTATGTATATACGTAATTGGATAGATCGGTAGTTGTGAGAACTTTTTACCAGTCGCACCTGTATCTAATATAATTCGTATATTTATGCATTTAGTGCTGGTCTATCCCGATCCACAATAGATGTAGTAAGCTTTAAGCCTTAAGAAATTGACCAATCACAGTCAAATTTGAGGAGAATAATCAACTGTGATTGGTCAATTTCTTAAGGCTTAAAGCTTAAAGCTTACTACACCTATTGTGGTTCGGGACTCTAACCGCCGCGACGCAAGGATGGGTTTATGTCTGTTCAGATATAATCTGTGATTTTTGGGATATATTTTTGATTATTTCCGAAGGCTACGAAGCTTTATCTCCAAACATCTGTCAGTGGCGTTAGGATATTTGCCTTATCAGGCGCCTGGAGCCGTATATTGAGAGTGAGAGAGAACTACGAATTTCTTGTGACTAGAGGCAGGCACCATTCGACATTGCAAATGCCTCGAAACGTCAAACGTAACACAATTATGCCTATCCGTCGTTCTGAAGCACTTACACCGCTAAACGAACCTTACTCTTGGTAATTAATCCTGAGAGCGAGAAAGTATATTTCTGGGTTAATTGACAGCAAGTTATATATACAGACTGAAAACTTTTGTGTGGTAATTGTGTCGATATACATATCGATAGTAAAGCCCTGTGGGATCAAGTGTGGTGAAGGTAAAGGCCTGGATATAGAAAATTTAAGCAGTAAGAAAGTTGGCCAATCACAAACAATTCTTCGACCATAAGTTGTAGAGTGTGATTGTTCAGTTTTCTTACTACTTAAGTTTATTTAAGAAGTGGACGAAGGGGGGAGTGTGTGTGCAGCGAAAATCGGAAGAGTTACGTTTCACTGTCGTCAAACTTCTTGCAAATCGCTTTTATCTTCCATACATTGTGTAAGAGAAAAGATATCTATAAAATAAAAAGTATTCATTCAGGCACTAGAAACATATTTATTCAAATCGAAATTCTTCTATTTAAATAGAGAATAAACGATTGTTTTCATGAAAAATCAAAGCTTCAAGAAAATATATTTTTTCTTGAAAAATATTTTATACATTGATATAAAAGTAGATATATTATTAGTGCCCATTGCGCGAGTAAATATTTTTTATTTCATATATATCTTTTCTCTCACACAACATAAACACAGTGTAGAATAGAAATTATTAATCCTTCGCTCAGAGTCGGTCGACTCGTTTGAGAACGCGTTCGTCTCTTTAAGAAAGACAGCTAATGCGCTCCGCACGATTATGTGTGTCCGTTTTTACTTTTGCACATTTATCTGCACTTTGCGCTCTCGGGAGTGCATGAGACGTCGTAAAAAGGGACAAGTAAAGAAATATTTCGAAGCACACACGTCCCGTCTCTCTTTCCCGCTCCTCCCGCCAGCGCGCACCCTCGAGCCGCATCCTCCGCGATTTTAACGATAATTACTTTCGCAGGTATACAGACCGTGGTAGCTCCTATTTACGGGCCAATTCTCAAGCCGGTATAACCAGGCTTGCGGCCGACAGGCGGCGGGCGATCGAGGGAGAACGAGGTAGAGACAAACGAACGAGCGGAAGATGATACGTTCCCGAGGACTTTCCGAGATAAGCGTATTTTAGAACTTCCGGCGCGTGTCGCATTCCGATCCTGACGTGCCAGATGCCGTGCTGTGTTGTGCCGTGAACTCGCCGGTTCTATCGACACGCACGTTTTATCACACATACTCCGAGAGGATGTGACTCCGCGGAATATGGCAGAGGGACGAGAGATAAAAATT